ACTGTCGTAGGTGGACCTATCCCAGCGCTTTTTCCTTAAAAAGCGCTTTGATAGGGGGGTCTTTCCCAGCGCTTTTTGAAAAGCGCTTTGATAGGTGTGCTATTTAAATTTTTTTTTTATTTATCAGGCCTTTTACAGCGCTTTTTATGGAAAAAGCGCTTTGATAGGGGGGTCTTTCCCAGCGCTTTTTCCATAAAAAGCGCTTTGATAGGGGTTCTATTTAATTTTTGTTTTTTTATTTATCATGGCTTTTACAGCGCTTTTTATGGAAAAAGCGCTTTGATAGGGGGGTCTTTCACAGCGCTTTTTCCATAAAAAGCGCTTTGATAGGGGGTTTCTATTTAATTTTTTTATTTATTTATGCTGCCTACGAAAGCGCTTTTTAGCCAAAAGCGCTTTCGTAGCTCATACAAATTTTTTAAAGTGAAACCTATAATTTGAGGTTCCCTGTGCGGCCTGTAATTTTTTTTTGGTCCAATAATTTAACCTGTAATTCAATCCTTATCTATACATATATTTTAAGAAATCGGTATTATATTAACAGAAACCGGTATACCATATAATATTCAATCCTTATCTATATATATGTAACTAAATCATATATAACTAAATTTGTAACCATATATACATTTGTAACCATAACTAAATCACATACAAAGTATCGTGTTAATTTGTAACCATATATATATACATATGTAACTAAATCATATATAATTACATCGAAAATAATGCTCCACCGACACGGTCGTCATCCTGCAAAGTATGAATATGAACAACACGGTAAATTAAACAAACAATATTAAAGGCTCCAACACAATCAAACTAACACGTACAATAATATTTTATTCATACCCATCAGAATAATCTGTTTTCAACATAAAATTGACATATTTCCTCTTTGACTTCTTCCACTTGAACTTTCGTGTACGACATAGTATAGAGGTCATCAAAGTACTCCATAAGAAATTATTACTTCAGTATATGCATGATGTTATTAAATGTAGAAATCATACAAAATTATTCTAAGTTATAAATCCATACCGTGCTTGGAATCTCTACTTGATTTTTATGAAGGATTTCTTTCATAAACCTCAAGCAAAAGTATCCGCAATCTACATCGTTATTCTGTAACGGACACTGCATAGAAAAACAGAATATATTTTATAGTTGTCGTGTAATTTTATCAAGTAACATAACTATTATTATAAGCAACTAATTTTGTACTTGCACTTTGATCCAAGTAATATTTGATGATTTACTCCGGGGTACCTGTGCGTCCCTTTGACTACGAAATATTTGTATTGATCTAAGAAAATAAAAACATATATTTAGATCAATCTCACAGAAATAATTAAATATATAAATATACACGAATAGTTAGAACGATCTCACTTACTGATCAACAGTTTCCTTCATAGCGGGATAGTTAGTCCATTCCCCGTCTACCGAATTCAGAAAGTACACAACTTCTTTAATCGGATCGATAGCCAACAACAACCAGTGTTTTCTAAAAATTTAAGCAACAGTTTAGAAGAAAAGTTTCTACGCAAAATAAACAAAGATATATTAGAATAAATGAAAAACTCACCCCACTGGAACAGTGTTATACGGCAAAATAAACAAGCTATCTGGGTTGCCGACGTAGGCCGTGTATCGATTCACTAAGTACTCCCTAACTGAACCCGGTTCCCTGACAATTGTCGCTCCGCTGACAATATGGGCAGACAAGAAATGGAAGCGTCTTGCCAATACAGTCTCGCGCATTTTTTTATCGTACAACAACCTTAAATAAAAACATATAAACATTAGACTATTTTCATTGAAATGTGTAAATAAATTGTTCAACTAATTAAATGATATATTTATCGGAATACCGGATGTATGCGTGAACATTGCCGATGCCTAATTCACCATGCGTCATAATCTCAGTCATTTCGTCCATTCCTATCGTTTCTTCGCAGTCAAGACCAAAGATATCTGCATCCATAAGGATTCGACGAATACCACCTGACTTCAAATCTGAGGTTTCCAAAAGTACTCCAAGTGTATTCCGATATCGAGGTACAAAAACGCCTCTTCCCCCGCCTCTTCCCCCCTTATGCATTGACTTTTTCGGGGGTGGTCTGCTACGAACAGGCTGGGTCACTTGTTGTGACACTTTCGCAGATACCTAACAATCATATAACTTAGGTAAATTATAAAATCGTTCAGTTTTAAATTCATATCATATAATAAACAATTTAAGTGTACCTCTGGAATTGATGCCATAGACTCGCCGCCTTGCTGCAAAATCTCCTTACCCTTATTAGCGGGTTTTGTAGGAGGCTAATATTAAAAAATAATTAACTTAACGGTTCAGAATTGACATTTGAAATCTAAATGATTCATATTAACGGTTTTAAACATACCTCATCATCAATGAAAATGAGGTCCAAGGGCCATGCAACAAACGACCCTACTGCGTCTCGCACCGATCTTATATCCAAGGCCACGTCAGGTACCGGTACCAACACATCGGGATTAATAGGATAATCTACTGATACTCTCAGGTGTCCAGCCGGGATCGGTGTATTATGAATTAAATCTCCCAAAGTGTTGTACACTTTTCCCTTGCCAACAAGGTGATAATCTGATGCCATTACGTATAGTTGGCAAGATGAAATGCCCTAAACCAATATGCATACATATTACTTTTAATTCAATAATAGAAAGAGGTGGAATAAAAATGAGAAACTTGAACAATAGAGATTTATCAATATATTTATAATTACCTCAAGAAATTTATTCTGACGGTTGATACTAGCGTTGTCACTAGTTTCTTTCGCCATTGCCGCATTGCCCTTTTCCCTCATTAATACCTCTTTATCTCTTTCCAATGCATTGACTTTTGCTTGTAATTCCATAAGTACATTCATCACTTCTGCATTGGTAGGATTTCTTTTCCGATGATGCTGGTAGAAAGAGGTTGGAGTCACACCATGACCTTTACCCCTCACCCGACCGGAATACTCAGGAACATTCAGTGCTTTACTAAGTACGCTCCTCGTATCCTGGTCGTCACCGGTGGACTCCGTTTGTGACAATGTCTCCTGAAAATAATGGAGATAAAAAAATCAATTAAATAGTCATAAAAATTTGATTTAATTAAAGACACAATGTTATACTTACGCATTCATCATAAATTCTTAGAACACTTGGATCAACAGCTTGATTCTTGCCCACACGAGCTTCCTTCCACAGCAAATGTGCTGGAAGTGAGGTTTCATCACTTTTCGTCTCCTCTAACTATGCATAGAAACAAACGGTTAGATCGTCAAATACAACACATTTAGACAATTAATAAGAACATACTCTTTCGACAATCGATTGGCAGTCATCCATTTTTTATCCATGGTTTGACTATAGCAACTAATTAGTCACGCAACTATAGCAAAATAATAATTAATTACCTGTAAAGAAATTCAACATATCAGGTAATCAAATTCATAGTTATTCTTGCCTCACCTTAAGCATGTGCTAAACAACTCATAACTAAATACTTACATAATTTATTGACTTATTACTTGCTAAATACTTACATAATTTATTTATACCATTGACCCCACTTGGTTACATGCAATCAAGAACACAGGTTTAATAATCAAACTCTTAAGAGAGTATTGATATTGTCAATCCGAGGAATGGACATTCACGCGACTGTTGTAACTCTGGAGTATAGTCGATACATTATTATCTTTAATTGCTTAACTGCACATCATGCTATGCTATCTATTCTCTGGAGTTTTCGTGCAATGTAGTGATGTCAATTCTCCATTTTATGTAGGATCTTGTTGATAGGATATTATCTATTCTCACAGATGAACAAGGTATGATCTCTTATCATATACTATAGACACACAGATGGCTCAACCTTTAGTACTCACTTATTCTATGTTAGATTTTATAACTTTTTGTCTATTTGATTTCTGTGAAAAAATGGAAGCTTATATTTTATACAGAAGATTTTATACAATGTTTTATTTGTCTTTGAATATCTTCAAATGAGAAAGCTGGCTGGCTCCAAAATGTCTGAGTCAAACATGTTTATACTGTTTGAGTTGCATTTCCAATCTTATTTGAGGCTTGGACTAGTTGGACTTGCTAATTTTAACTTTCTATTCAAACACTGCTTTAGGAGTAGTGGTAACTTCTACTATGACATGGTTTATCGAATATGAAAACTTTGGAATATTTAACTTTTATGCTTCTAGTTCAGTTTTGTGATTTTAATATGTGAAGTTGTGTTTCTTATGTTCCTCCGCTTTCTCTTGTAAACTATGACATTGTTTACAGTGCCACCGAATAATGTTTGACGGACTTGCCTTGTAAGCCTTGAGGGACTCACCCCCAAGTCTTATCTTAAGGACTCGCTTTCCCAATTATCGTCAAGAGAGAGATGACCTTCTACCTAATTTAAATCACTCCATCTTTTCTAGACCTCCTACACGAGAGATTGGACTAAAATAACTTAATTAATCTTTGGAAGAATCCAACCCCTAATCTGATCAACCCAAAAACAATGTAAGTCAGACGGACAAGGGAATTGCCAATCCAAACCCGCTCATTTGGAAAGGGGTGCCTGGATCAAACGGGAATGGTTAAATGCTAATCCTTTGACACAAGAACACAAATAAAAGTAGACAGACACTAGTCTATATTAAGAGGGAAAATGTGAAGTATGTACAATTTTTACAAAAAATAAAATTTATAAAATGGAAATATTTTCAAAGAAAAAAGTGTGACAACACTAACCTAAATAACATATGTAATACTTACCTCACAAATAAAGAAAAAATGGTTAACCATCAGAATGCAATGAGAAGAAAATTCTCCCACTTTGACGTATATCCACTAACAAACTTCTCTAGGATGTGTTTCTCTTCTCTCTCTCTTTCTCTCAAACATCCTTCATGTGTAATTTTGCATGTGCATGATAATTATCATCAAAAATAAACTCATGCATGACTCGGAAATTTCCTGTAAATGGTTTGTTACAATTTCCAAATAATGAATGGCAACAACAACATCAAAATTCTATTCCTTCTCGTATTCTACAAGAAAAAATGGTGAAAAGTAATAATGGCACAGCATTTTCTTCCTATGAAATTTTGTGTCAAATACAACCAAACACTCACCCTTCTGGTATCTTTTATGGTGACAACCCCTTAACTCATGCATTCTCACTACTTTTGTTTCACCTCATTCTTGTCACTGCCATGACACGTATGGTTCGTTTCATTCTTAAGCCTCTCAAACAACCTAACATCGTTTCTCAAATTATTGTAAGCTTCTAGTTCTTATCATAATTATCATTTCAATTCTCGTGTTAAATTTTTTGTCTAATGCGAGTTTTTTATTTTCATGTTTGATTTGTTTGCTAGGGTGGTGTGATTATTGGACCTTCGTTTCTAGGAAGAAGTAAATGGTATCATCGAAGCATAAAACCGGAAGCGGCGCAATTCCTAATGAGTAACCTAGGTGTGATGGGGTTCATGTTTTTTGTTTTTGTCTATGGTGTGAAAATGGATCCAACTCTATTGAAAAAATCAGGAAAAATGCATATATCAATTGCATTGACAAGCATAACAATTCCAACCATAGCAGTATTTGTTATAGGACTATGTTTAAGAAAAACTATGGACAAAGAACTAGGTGCAGTTTCATCCATAGGAGTGTTAGCAGGGTACTTAGGAATAACAGCGTTTCCTGTTCTATATCATATTCTCAAAGAGCTGAACCTTCTAAACTCAGACGTGGGTCGATTCGCGTTAGCGACAGCGCTAATCAGCGACGCGTTTGGAATTCTTAGCGTTTTGGCATTTGAACATAAAACAGGAAACAAAAAAATGACCACCCATCCATCCCTAACCTATACTAACATGCTTGGGGAACAAAAAAACATAAAATCGGTACACGCATACTCAATAATCATACCATTGTCATGAATTTCAGGCATTAGCACAAGACCACACATGAACATACAACCCTAAGCTTCTAACCCCAAGTTCTAACTAAGAACTTACCTTGAAGAGAATATTTTGAGTTGGGTGTTTGAGAGATGAAGAAAATGATGATGACTTATACACTTGATCACTGCCCTTCTTCCAAATGATGATGAAGACGAAGACTTGCGACGACGGCCGGAGGACGGACGAAGACGGAGGAAGAAGAGTTGCGTTTGAAGAAGAGAAAAGAATGAATAATGTTATTTTGATGTTTTAATTTATTAAATTAAAAATAATATAAGCTATAACAGCGCTTTTGAAAGCGCTTTCATAGGGGGGCTTTTACCAACGCTTTTTAGGGTAAAAGCGCTTTCATAGGTCCAGCTATGCCAGCGCTTTTGAAAGCGCTTTCAAAGGCCAATCTTCCACAGCGCTTTTTAAAAAGCGCTTTCGTATCCCCCACCTATGCCAGCGCTTTTTAAAAAGCGCTTTCGTATCCCCCACCTATGCCAGCGCTTTTAAAAAAGCGCCTTCGTAGGTTTCCCTTTTTTTTAATTTTGTTTTTTGTGAAGGTTATGGCAGCGCTTTTTCAATAAGCGCTTTAGTAGAGGCGCTGCAAAAAGCAGTTTTTGGCGTAGTGTTATATGATTCTCTGTTCAATAAAATATTGACACAACTCCTCTTTGGTTTCTTCCAACTGAAGTTTCGTGTAATATGCACATTTGTACTCATCGAAGTACTACATAACAAAATATAATATGCATGATTTAGTTAAAAGTAAAAAATTATATGAAATATCCGAGAAATAATAAAACAAATCCTAAGTTATAAATCCATACCGTGACTGGAATCTCTATTTGATTCAGTTGAATGATTTCTTTGATAAACCGCATAACGAAGTATCCGCAATCTATCAAATATGTTGTTCCCACTATTGTTTCAAGGCACTGCCGGTATCGAGGGAAAAATCTAGTAGGCACCCTTTTCTTGGGTGGTACGCCAGCGATTTTCTGGCTCACTTGTTGTGACCCTTGAAAAGGTACCTAAAAATCATATAAACTCAGTTAAATTATAAAATTATGCAGTTTTTTATTCGGATCATATAATTAACACTTTAAACGTACCTCTTTTGGTGATACGTCAGACTCGTCGTGCCGCAAAATCCCTTTACCCTTAGATGCAGGTGTTGTAGGAGTCTATAATTACCGTAGAAATAACTGTGGTCAGAACTGACAGTTGAAGACTTAAAGATTCATAATTGTTTTCAACATACCTGATCATCTATGAAAATGAGGTCTGATGGTCATGCAACAAAAGATCCTATTACATCTCGCAGCAATGTGGTCTCAGCAACAATGTCAGGTACCGGTAGCAACGCATCCATATCTAAAGCAATGTCAACCGATACTTTCATGTGTCCATCCGGAAGCGGTCTATTATGAAGTAAATCTCCCGAAGTGTTATGGACTTTTCCCTTGCCAACTAGTCGATAAGTCGGCGACGATAGGTATAGCTGGCAAGATGAAATGCCCTAAACCAATAATAACCGTTATCAGTGACTAAAAATATTCTATAATAATAATGGATATATATTGAAAATTACCTCGGGAAATTTATGCTGACAGTTGATACTAGCTTTGTCACTAGTTTCTTTCAATTGTGAACTGCTCTTTTCCGCCATATATCTCTCTTTATCCTTCTGCAATTCAAGGACTTGAGCTTGTAAATCCTGCAATGTTTGCATCACTTCTGCATTGCTAGGATTTCTTCTCCTTGGATGCTTATACAAAGAGGTTGGAGTCACACCATGACCTTTACCCCTCACCCGACCCAGATACTCAGCAATATTTAGTGCTCGACTAAGTACGCTCCTGGTATCCTGATGATCCTCACCTGGGGATACCGATTGCGACAAGGTCTCCTGTAATTCATTTACATATAAAAAATTATTAGTGGAGATAAAAAATTATTTAAATATTAATAAACATTAATTGATTTAACTAAAGACACAATCTTATACTTACACATTCATCATACACATGTTGAATATCAGGATTAACAGCTTGATCCTTGCCCACACGGGCTTCCTTCCACAACAAATGTGCCGGTAGTGATGTTGCGTCACTTTTCGTCTCTTCTAACTACGCAATGACACAAGTCTTAAGATCATCAACTATAACACATTGAGAGAATTAATAAGATCGTAGAGTTTATATTTACTTACAATTTTTTCCTCTAAGCGAGCATATCCCAAACGCCCTTTTTTGTATGGATATGCGGGTTTTGACGCTCTCTCGCGATTGATAGCACTCACTTTCTTGAAATTCTCGTCTCTTCTTTGGCCTACAAAACCAACTCATTCTTCAGGTGTAATGAAGTTCTCATATTTCTTTGGACGTTTCGGATCCTCTTCAAGAAAATTTCCTTCATCATCTTTAAGATACTTGTTTGTTAAAAATGTTTTCCACCCTCTGTGTTTTTTTCCAGCCAAACCCATTATATACTTTTTACGGGTATCTTCAATGTTAAAAGACCTCTACAAAAAAACATACGCATAAAGTGTGTTAGTAAAAGAAATTTAAGCACATATTATCGTCAAGATAAAGCAAATAACAAAAACCATATATGTACCTTTATCTCAGTCCAAACTTTCTACTTAGCCTCATCCAACTCTCCTCTTTTCCATCTAGGAGTGGTGATCGGAATGTGTATACGAACAAGCGTACCAATGTAGCTTGTCAACTTTGCAGCATTAGACCCAATTAGTTGGTCATTATCATTCCAATCTACATTATATGTTACTCCTCTATCTCTATCACTGATGATTCCCCTCATAATAGTTATACCTCGTGTAATATCTTTTTCTGAAGTCTTTTCTGAAGTATTTTCTGGAGTATTTTCAGGAGCATTTTCAGGAGCATTTGCATCTTTTGAGTTTTCTTGATTACTAGTCATTTGACCTGTAATAATGAAAAAAAATAAAAATGAAATGACAAATAAAAATGAAATGGCAAATAAAAATGAAATGACAAATATAAAAATGAAATGACAAATAAAAATGAAATGGAAAATTAAAATGAAATGACAAATATAAAAATGAAATGACAAATAAAAATGAAGTGACAAATAAAAATGAAATGACAAATTAAATTTTATTGAATGATATAGGCTATAATTATATATACTATTACCCTTTTCACTAAGGTCTCTTTCTTTTCTTGGTAGGAATGTGTTCTACTCGTCTCTTAACAACGCGGACAATTGAATTGATCCAAATACCCTCATTATGATCGTTTCTAATACATGATTCATTATCATTTTGATCAGTTATGGTTAAAGATTCAATGTCAACACCAATATCACTTTGATCTCCAATGCTTTCATCAATTACTTTGTTAGATAATAGCACTATAGACCATTTCGTACTTGTCGGATCATTGACATAGAACACTTGTTTAGCTTGAGAGGCTAGAATGAAAGGCTCATCTTTGTACCCCACCCTATTAAGATCCACTTGCAAAAAACCTGACTTATCCATTCGTATGCCGTTATTATTTTCAACCCACTTGCAACCAAATATAGGAATCTGAAACTTCTTGTAATCAAACATCCAAATGCGCTCGATAACCCCAAAATATGACAGATTTGCAAATTTTAGGTTTAAGTCCTTCACACTTGATATATGCATTGCTTCAGCGATCAAGGTGACACCACTATTTTGCATAGTACTTTTGTCATCTTGTTCTTTGGTATAAAATGTGTATCCATTAATTGCATATGCGCTATAAGAAAACACAACTAAACTTGGACCGTATGCTAAACATCTCAATCTTTTTGTTACTGAAGCATGATCTGAACGATACTTTGAATAAATATGTTCCTTAAACCATGGTATGAAACTTCGATTATGCTCTCGTACAATCCAATTCTCATTTCTATTCGGATTTAAACCTCGAAGAACACCCTTGTGAATTTCAACATACGGCTCAACTTCAAGCTCATTATGCAGAACATACAAATACACTTGATCCCGTTCGACCATTGATATTGTCACAACTTTATTTCCAATTAGCTTCTTACCTTCTTTTTTTTCAACAACATGAGATTTGGGGAGTCCAATTGATTGAACATTTGACAGATATTCAGTACAAAACTCAACCGCTTATTCAACAATATATCGTTCAACAATACAACCCTCTGGTCGACTTTGGTTTTTCACATACCCTTTTAATATTTTCATATAACGTTCAGTAGGGTACATCCATCTCATATAAGCTGGTCCGCACAGTTGTGTCTCTTTGACAAGATGAACGACAAGATGAACCATTATGTCAAAAAACGAGGGAGGGAAATACATTTCAAGATCACACAAAGTAACAACTATTTCTTTTTGCAATGTTGGTAAGATCTCAGGATCGATCACCTTGCTGCAAATTGACTTGAAGAAAAAACACAGTTTAGTTATTGCGCTTCTTACTTTTTCTGGAAGAATAGAACGTATACCTATCGGTAGAAAATGTTCCATTATAACATGGCAATCATGCGTCTTTAAACTCTTTAACTTGAGGTCTTGCATAGACACAAGTCTTCTAATATCTGATTAGTAGCCTTCTGGAACTTTAACCTCACTTAGGAACTTACACAATATTTTTTTCTCCTTTCTGGATAGAGTGTAAACAACAGGTGGTAGATATGTTCGTCTTACTTTTTTCACGGGTCCCAATTCAGTTCTTATTCCCATCTCTACCATGTCCTCCCTTGCTTTAAGACCATCCTTAGACTTCCCTTTTATATTGAGTAACGTACCAATAACACTGTCAAATACATTTTTTTCAATATGCATAACATGAAGAAAATGTCTTACATACAAAGATTTCCAATATGGCAATTAAAAAAAAATCGACCTCTTCTTCCACCCACCTGTAACAACTTTATGTGCAAAAGGCTTGCCAAACTGAATACTCACATCTTTCACCTTTTCAAATAATTGATCACCTGTC